ACTAAAATTATTTAATCACTAATAAATTGAAAGATTTAAAATTATAATAAAATAAATTATTAAAATAATTTTTCTTGTGCTATCAAAAATATCAGGTTTATTATGAGCACCATAATCATCATTACATTGTATTGATAAATCTAATAGAAACTGACTGTCAAATAATTGACCTGATAATTATCCTAAGATTGATAAGCAGTGGTGTTAAACCTACTTTCAGATAAATAAATAAATAATAATAATAATAATAATAATAATAATAATAATAATAATAATTATTATTATTATTATTTGAATCCTTACTTTATACTATATAGTATGCAATTCTTTTAAGCATGCCTTATTCAATAACGACATAACATTCTGGCCACTTATTATATTTGTACATATTTTCATCTTCATCAGACTCCTCACCTTCATTGGGCTCCTCACCTTCATCGGGCTCCTTACCTTCATCAGGCTGTTCATCATATTCTTCATCTTCATCAGATCCTGCAGTGTCTTTATCAGATTCATCATCTTTATTATCCTCACAATCATCATAGATTAAATGATTCTCACTTCCTGACAAGCAATTGGAGATACTGCATTTTTTAAATGCTCAGACAATAATATTATCAGAAATGTCATTCCAGGTGTTCAAAACCTAATGACAAATTGTATTCAAATCAGTGCATCTCAAGTTTCCACCCTTAGTAAAGCCATTACCACCATTCACCATCCATTCATGCCAATAATTTCGAAGTTTGTCCTTGAAAGGTTTGTTAATGCAAACATCAAGAGGCTGACACATACTAGTGAGACCCCCAGGAATTACAGCCAAATCAGTATTTCCTGAACGAAACTCAGCCTTAACCCAATCCATAATAAGTCCAGAGAAAGAATTCAATACAAGCATTGCCTTCGAATTACGATGTCTTGGTCATTCACGGTTCCAATACTGTATCCACTTTTCCATTCCTAGTTCGTCTATCTACCCTTTGTCCTGGAACCAAACAACCATGCCAGCTGAAGGTGAAGGTGTATTAATTGGCCAAACCTTTCCTTTAAAGATAATAACTGGAGAAAGCTTAGTACCATCGGCAAGACATGTCAAGACAACGGTGAATCGATTTTTATCATTGCTGGTTGTTCGGATATGTACCGTTTTTGCACCTGTTTGATCCACTGTCAAATTCCTTGCAATGTCGAACCAAACGGGAGTTTCATCCATATTGGCTATTAAACTAAGAGGATATTCATTTTTTTGACAAAGACGGATTACAAACTGCTGAAAACTAAGAAGCTGGTCTTCAAGGTCTCTTGATAACTTCTGTGCGATTTTAGTCTTACGCCGAAGAGAAAGATCATGGTGCTTTAAAAAACAGTGAAGCCATCATGGTGAGAACTTAAAGTTGCTAATTGCAAACTTTTTGGTTTCATCTTTTGTTTGTTTAGAACTTTTACTTATTATTTTAGCCATTTTTATCCTCAGATTAGAATATGAAACAGCAAGATTGTTTTGTTGAACTTCTTTCACCCATTCATAAAGTTGAGCTTTTTCTTCAGGAAAAAATGCATGACACCCAGAACCAACCCTTTGTAAGTTTTTTTTGGAAGGGGTGCCTTGTGAAAATAGTTTGACCCACTGGCCAAGCATCGTTAAATCTAAAGAATAATAGTTGGCAGCATACATATTTGAAGTATGACGAGCCAACTCTACGGCCTGGCACTTTTCTTCTATTGAATATGAATTTCTTTGTCATTTCATAACTTGAGTTGTAAAAAGTTTGTGATGCTTTTAAAAAAGCTTTTCCGTTTCCAAGAAAATCAGTAGTATTTATATAAAGTACCTTGGCTTGTACTTTCCTTATTTCAGAACGAAAGTGATGTATAAAAAAAGCCCAGATTTTTATCATGATTTCCATTTCTTTTTATTACTTCCCTAGGCGACTCCCCAGGCTATTTTCCGACTGTTGCCTCACGATTACTTAATTTGAATATGTAGTGAAAAAAAAAAAATTGAATCAAAAAAAAAAAAATTGAAGTAAAAGACTTCGCGTCATATGACGAGGTTTAAAAAAAAAAAAGTTTTTAAAACGATTATTATTGTTCATGTATATGCATGTGTATAGTATGTAAAAAGCCTAAGTATCATGATTTTTATTTCTTTTTTTTTATATTTTTCCAGGCTGCTAGTATTTTCTATTTTTTTTTTTTATATAGTAAAAAAAAAAAGCGATTGTTGCTTTAAATAACATGTGGAAAAAGCCCAAGTATCATGATTTTTATTTCTTTTTTTTTTTCCCAGGCTACCAGTATTTAACAATATATATTAATAGTTTTTTTTTTAAAATTTGAGAAAAAAAAGCCAGTTCTTTGATAGTTGAGCGATTACCGGTATAGCATACTTATACATATATATACGTATGACATGATTTTTTAATATTAGCATTAGTGCATATATAGTAATATATATATATATAAACAACTTACATGCATTATCGGTTAACTTGCAGATAAATTTTTACAAGATAAACCTAAAGTAGATGTTACATTACCTGATTAGAGTTTTTAGTATTGAAAGTATTGAAAATAAGCTACCCCCTTTGTTGAACCTAAATTACTCTAAAAATAGTAAATACTGAAAATAAGCTACCTTTCATTTTTTGTGTTTAAAATTTGCCAAAAAAAGGTAGCTTATTTTCGGAAACATATGGTACTTTATAATTAATGTCTGTTAATATAGTATATATTATTATAATTGGTTTATATAGGTTTTTATTGTTTATTTTTAGTATATTGTAAAATATTATTATCATTTTTCTATAGTATCAATTTTGTGCAATATAGTTTTCATATTTGTTCATAAACTTTTTAAAACAGCTTATGTAAAAGTTTTGTAATAATATTTTTTGCTTCTGTTTGTAATTGAGTAAATAGTCTAATTGATAAAATAAGGTTAATAGGCACATATCTTTGTAATATTGTGTAAATGTTAATTTTTATAGAATTATGTTACTAAAAGAAAGACTGTTGTGTTGTAAAAATATTTCTTGTAGTTCATTAATTTAAATACTAGTAATATCAGTAATATAAGTATTGTTTCTGTTATTATTTTTTAAATAAGATTAGTAAGCAGTATAAAGATTGAATAGAAACTCTAATATAGTGAATATTCTGGTATATGATATATAATACAACTATTGCTAGTTATTGCTTTTAAATATAAGTTATGAAGATAGAAAGAGTAGCTAATGTATTAAGTTATAGTTTAATTTTAAAAAATTTATTATTACTAAGTGTAAAGTTAGTTATGAGCTAGTTCTATTAAGATTGTTATTTAAGTATAGCCAGGTTGCTTTCTAGTTAATTTGTAAGAATAGAGAAATACTATTATTTATTCAATTTTGAATGACTATATAACTATTATATATCAAGTGCAAATATTTTTAATTGTTTATTAAATAAGTTGTTTAATAGTATATTATTTATATTGTATAGTATATGAAGTATTACAGATATTGTTGTATTATATATTTAGAAAATTTGTTAAGTTGTGATTTAATATAAGCTTATCTGTTTCATTATTGAATATATTGTCTTTATAAGCTGCTACTTTGTAAAGTATAATGTTATATTTGTATAATCTAATTAAATTGATAATTATATGCCATATTGGCCAATAATTATAAGAATATTGTTTATATTATAGTATTATATTACTAGTAATTTTGTTGAATTTAGAAATTACAAATTGTGAATTAGTATAGATTTGGATATTGTTATTCTGAGAACATGTGCATATAACTAATAAAATAACTATTAGCTTAGTTTTGTATGATAATGATCAGAATTTAATTTGAAAAGAGTAAGATTCAATAATAATATTGTTATATATTTGTATCTATCCAATATTTATTAAACATCTATTAGTAATAATATTGGTAACAGATCCATAAGTATAAAAAATAAAGTTTTTATATTGAGTATTTTAGTTTGTAATTTGTTGTAGTTTAATAAAAAAAATATATATTTAAATAATTTATTATTAAATATATATATATATATTTAATTTTCAGAATTATTATCTCCTAAATTGTGTTTCAATCAAATTTGTTTAAAAAATTAAATTGTATTTAGTATTTTTTAAATAAAATAATAATTTATTAATAATATGAAGTATATTTTGCTTAT